GGTGAAAAATCCGCACATATGATTTTTTATATGTGTGCTCAACTATGTTTGTGTTTATTATAATTTGTAACACCCCAATCTCACACCCCAAACATTTTACATATAAAATCAATCAATATATTACAGTCAGGATTTTTTCCAAATTTGGAAATAGATTCTGGAAAAATTGGAACACTTTTATCGATCAATTCATATACGTTACAAACGAGTTAAAGCATAATGGACATTTGATTTCGTTGGCTAAATTTTGTGACGATCTCCCTTCCAGATATCATGCAAAAATTAAATTTTATTGGCTTGATGATCATCATACAATTTGTTTTGAATAGAATAAGTGAATTTCAAGTCGATGCAAGAAAATATATATGCTTTTAGATATAAAGTAATTATCATAAAATCATATCTATTGTATATTTAAAACAATAGATTTAAAAAATGTTAATAACAATGATCTATTATTTATTATTATATAGACATTCTTAATATGATTAATTAGACCAGGGTTGGCAAATGTGTGGTCCATTGGGTCCATTAGTGTAACACTTTAACCATATTTAGTATTTTATTAATGGCAATGGACCAGTCAATTTGCCAACCCTGAATTAGAGTAATGACATTTTTATGTTTATAGCATTAATTAATCAAAATGTATATTTTTACATTTACAACAGGTTTTTCATAATATCAAGCTTATTGTTATAATTTTTTTTGTTTAGAAATAGGTATTCTTGATGAAAAATTTTCAAACATTACATCCATATCTGGTAAAATTCAAGAAATTCATGTGCAAAATTAATTTCCTAATTAAGAAGTTACAAACCACCATTTAACATATCTTATCTTCCTAATCATGACACCCTTTAAAGTGATGGAATACTTGTTTTTCCTCCCAAAATAAATTACAAACTTTAGCCATAGTGCTGTTTTCAATAACTCCACATGCTGCAAATTGTGAAAGAATATGGTCAACAATTGGCTGGTTCTATGGAAAAAGAAGGACAAGACTTTAGAGTTCAGACAATTAAGTCACTCACTAAGATTCATTGTTTTTATTTATCCAACATCAAAGATGAACTAAAGCATCTCCAACTATCAATGGATGAAGATTAGATAAAAGAAATATTTCAGGAGACCAGTTGAAAGTTTTTAGGATGTTGCTGAAGAAGATGAAAATTCAGTGCTATTATTAAGCCTTAGTGAACCTGACAATTTTAATAATGGTAATGAAGAAAACTTTAATAATGGTATTGAAGAAAACTTAAATATTTCATCAATGTTTAATTTAGAACCAATTGTAATTTAGTAAGTGATCTTACACAAAGATTTATATCATAATTGCAGATATTATATAATAATTATTCCCAAGTAAAGATGGGAACCACAAGCATTTTTTCCACAATTATTATTGAATAAAATTTTTTAACCAAAATATTTAGTTTATTGTTGTTTTATTAGATAATAAATATTCTTATATAACTTCAGAAATAACTTTATTTAAGTACCAAGAATAAATTTTAATTTGATTTTATAAAAAGAATTTTGGAGAATTGTGGATATTTGCTGGCAATGGAAATATTTGTGGAATTGCGGATGATTGCAACATGTAGTTAATTGCAGACATTGCAGAATTTAAGATGATTCTCTGCAATATTGTAACACAGTGTTGCAACATCAAGTTTGCAACATTTCAATTGCGGCTCCCATCTTTAATCTAAAGGGATTAAAAAATGTTATCACATAAAAAACAAACACACAATTAAGCACTGCATGCACAGAAAGATACAGTAAATAACTGGTTTCCCTGAATGAGACATTGTAAAACTTGTCTTTGGTTTCTACCACTTCTTTTGTAGCATTTATTTGATAGAGACAATTTTGTCTTTGACATACTTACATAATTAAAAGAAGAAACAAAGCTACACACTTATCAAAGTTTTTATTAAAGAATGTATTTGCAATTCAGTTATCCTGCTTTGAATTAGTTAATTTTAAGAGGATGAAGAAAAGAATTAAATTGTAATGTGTGATTTAGAGAGAAAAAAAATAATAATGATCAATGTATAAATATATTAATTTGATGCAATACTGCATGTGCAAAATTATAAAAATCAATTTTTAAATGGGAGATGTCTTGTTATTTTGAGTAGAATGCAGATGATGGGCTTCAATAGATCCCAGTAACTAACTCATCCAGTCAAACTTCGTTATAACGGTCCCTTATTGTAACAGATTTTAGACATTTAAAATCGTTATAAAGAATTTACTAGTATTAGTCGCGCATTATTATTATATGAGCAAAAATGTTAAGTTCGTTATTAACACGTATTTAATTAAGGTTACACTTCGTTATAATGAGGTACGACTGTTGAAAATTTTTACGTCGATCTTTACTATTCAAGTTTTTCAAAAAAAAATTTAAAAATGATCAAAGTAACTCCATTAGGTGCAGGTCAAGATGTTGGTAGAAGTTGTATAATAATAAATATAGGAGATGAACGTACTGGAATAAAAACCATAATGTTCGATTGTGGTATGCATATGGGTTTTAATGACCAAAGAAGGTTTCCTGATTTTTCAGAAATTTCTAAAACTAATAGATTCACTGAAGAATTGGATTGTGTTATAATTAGCCATTTTCATTTAGATCATTGCGGTAATCTTGCAATTTATAAAAATTGTATATGTTGAATCATTTTATTAATCATTTAATAATAATTTATCCATTTATACACTTATTATCGCCATTCATTCATTATTTTCAATACATTCACATATACACTATTACACTTCTTTAGGAGCACTTCCATATTTTACAGAGATGTGTGGTTATGATGGACCAATTATAATGACATATCCAACAAAGGCAATATGTCCTATATTACTTGAAGATTATAGAAAAATAACAGTGGAACGAAAGGGGGAAACCAATTTTTTTACTTCAGAAATGATCAAAGATTGTATGAAGAAAGTCACAGCAGTAAATCTTCATCAAACAATAAAAGTCAATGGCGATGATGATTTAGAAATTAAAGCATACTATGCAGGTCATGTGTTAGGAGCAGCAATGTTTTATGTTAAAGTTGGATCACATTCAGTAGTCTACACTGGTGATTATAACATGACACCAGATCGCCATCTTGGTGCAGCATGGATTGATAAATTACGACCAGATTTATTGATAAGTGAGTCAACATATGCCACAACCATACGTGATTCAAAGAGAACTCGTGAACGTGACTTTTTAAAAAAAGTACATGATTGTGTCTCGCAAGGTGGCAAAGTCCTAATACCAGTGTTTGCTCTTGGCCGTGCACAAGAACTTTGTATTTTGATAGAGACTTATTGGGAAAGAAATAATCTTGATGTCCCAGTATATTTTTCAGCCGGGATGACTGAAAAAGCCAATGATTACTATAAACTTTTTATAAACTGGACCAATGAAAAAATAAAAAACACATTTGTTCATAGGAATATGTTTGATTTTAAATATATTAAGCCATGGGACAGGCAATACACAGAATTACCAGGTCCAGCAGTATTATTTGCAACACCTGGCATGTTACATATAGGCACATCATTGGAAGTATTTAAAAAATGGGCAAATAATCCTAAAAATATGGTAATTATGCCTGGATATTGTGTTGCAGGAACTGTGGGCGCAAAAGTTCTTAATGGTGACAAAGAGGTACAAGTTGATGCGAACACCAAGATACAAGTCAACCTACAAGTGAAAAATTTGTCATTTAGTGCACATGCAGATGCAAAAGGAATTATGCAATTGATCAAACAGTGCGATCCAAAAAATGTGATATTGGTTCATGGAGAAAAGGCTAAAATGGAATATTTACAAGATAAAATCATTCGTGAATGTAATATATCTTGTTTTTCACCTGCAAACCATGAACGATTAACAATTACAACTCCACTTGTTACACCAATAAACATTTCTATTGATTTACTTAAACGTCATATGGTTTCACAGAAACTTTCATCAAATATTCATAGCAGTAATGGTGATGGAAATGATATTGACATATCAAAAATAAAACCGGTGGATGGTACTATGATTCAAGGTGTTCTTACAATTGAACCAAATAAAATACCAAGGTTGATGGATGCAGATGAGGCCATTCGTGATGTGCATCTACCTTTGCTTGACTTATCTTTTGATTTTTTGAAACAGTTTGATCCTAAAAAAATGGATCAGAAAAAAACATCATCACCATCTATACTTTCAGAAGATAATGATGTTCGTATTCATGCATTAAATCATGTATATAATGCTATAGAACAAGCTAAAAATAAAGCACTGCCTGGTACTACAGTCATATTTAAAGATCAAACACAAATAAAAATCAGAAGTATGGTAATCAGTATACCTGGATCTTCAGAAGGTAGCTTAATCCACTCTTTAAAAATTTCATGGAATTATTGTGATGATAATTTGGCAAATTATCTTATGGGTATAATAGATGATACTCTTCCTGATGTTGATGATTAATAAGATGATCAATAATATGGTTGAAGTCAAAATATGGTGAAGACAATATGATGAATGCGATATAAAGAAGGCAATGTTATGATGTTGCAGCATGCAATTAGCATTTAAATGTTAAGAGAAAAAGAAAAATTATTATATTGAATTAAATATAGTATATCGTTTTAAATTAAATAATATTAATCATTTGACAATTACTTCATCATCACTGTTATTGTGTTAATTAGATGAGCCCCTTGTTGATCAATTCATATATGACTGATGATCTCCTTAATATTTAACATAATTTGTAAAATAAAATGTACATATATAGTGGTTTTTGAAAAATGAATTCTATTTCTTCTACCTCAGTTAGTCCTTGGACTTTACAATATTTCTTAACTTGATCTTTTCTTCCACAAGAGCAGCAAGTTTTATTTCAATGGAACTCCTTTGTTGATTTCTCTTACTGATAGTGACATTTGAAAAGTTGATCAGGATTTTCAAAGAAATATTCAAAGACCAAGTTGATTAATCAAGAATCTTTAATGTCTCGGGGAATTTCTTGGTAAACCCGAACAAAAACTTCTGATTTGATTACTTCAGATGTTAATTCTCTCGATTACACTTACAAAATTTGAATAAGAAATAATAAAAAGGTTCCTCGTAAGGTATAAATAAAATAATAAATAATGAAAATAAAAAGAAATAAAATTAAGAAAAATAAAGGGAAATAAAATCAAAAGAATCCATAGGTTACAATTAATAATGTTGATTTGTTTTATCTTCTGGTGTAAATTTCCACACAACTCGCATCGATTTTGCCACCAATTATGATTGGGAGAGTGTAATTTAATTGATGATTACAAATGTTATTTGAGTTTATGTGGATAGGTTTACTAACAAATTAATTTTATTAGTGGATAATTTTGTTTAGAAGATAAGAATATTTTATTTAGTTGAAATTGATTAAGTTATTTCTTATAAAGTTATTTTTAAAGTATATCAATTTCGAGCTTCTTATATACATGTTGATTTAGTGGTTTTACACACTGAATTAAATTCACTGACTAATCACCAATTAACCGATTAATTAAAGGTAGAAATTCATTGACAATTTGTTGATAGAATTGTTAGTCGAAATATGTAGCTTTAGGCATTTTGTATGAAATAGATTTGACAAGGTCACTTGATTTGCTGTAATACCGAAATGTCTAAATCGATGTTGAAAGTTTAAATTAATATTAATGTTGAAAGCCTGGAAATGTCCAAATACAATGATGTATAATGACTATTTACGTCATCAATAATAAATATTAGTAAATTTGAGAATGGCGACCAGTTATTTAATTATAATAATAAAATGCATCTTTTTTATTTGAAATTAGCTGATTAATTGTATATACACTAAAAATATCAATCACATTCATTTTTTTATCATTGATACAATGTTACTTGTGACAAGGAAATTTGAATGCAATAATGAAGATAATGAATTTGATGGAGATGAATTTAGAGCAGCATTTGTATAAAGTTTACAGAATGATTAAATACTGTAATGGAAAAGAGCATATTTTAATATTTCAATAGAATTTAGGCATTTTGACTTTCAACATCAATTTGGATTTTTGATGTGATTAGACTTTCAACATAACCTTAAACTTTCGACATGTCTAAATGTCGAATGACGAAATGTTTTTGATAAAAATATTTCGACTGACAACTCTAATTGCTGAAAATATTCAATGATTGGATAATCGTGATTAATCGTTGAATATTAATCCTTGTGAAATATTTTATCTCTCTATCTTAGAGATGGGAGCCGCAATTATTGTGGGTTTGGACTGGTAAATTGTTATTGATATGTTTATAAGAACAGAATATAACTTTAGAAATAATTTTATTTGGTATCTTATAAAAAAGGATCGCGAGGCTGACAAGCCACAATTCCACAATTATTTTCTATATCCGCAATTGTGTAAAGGAAAATTGATTTAAAAAAAGAATTTATTTGCCTTATTTTAAAATCGTTAACCAAAATATCTGTAAGCATTAAAATATTTAGTTTATAAAAAATGGTTCACAGTATAACCTTTGTTTCAACGGAGTGGGTGGACATATAAGAAAATTTCATTTAAAATCCATTGAAACGAAATTACTAATACTAATCGCGTTTCAACGGATTTTTATGTTTTCATAATAATAATAATAATAATAATAATAGTATATGTATTTTCCGTATATAGATAGTTAATATTAATTAAAATTTGTGGACAATAACTCACGGAATAATAAGCGGGCTTTGGTGACTGTAGTGCACTCTCTCTATAACGGTCCTTCTGTTTTGGCAAAAAGAGGTTGTTCGTTATTAGGGATTTGCAAATCATAATCATGCAATCAATTCATAATATTAATATTGACCAACTCCAATGTTTCACGCAGTTTTGATCCCTGAAATTTCTTGTTCGAACTACCCCACGTGTAACTTCCACATGGATAATAAACAGGAAGAATTTATTGAAGAGATTGATTTTTCAACATTATTTAAAAAATATGCAAGAAGAAGAAGTAGAAACATTATATAAAGCTCTGATGACAAATGTTGTAACTGATGAACAAATAATTGAGGTGAAGACAACTTAAATTTGATTTAATATGATTTGATTTTTAATTTGATTGTATATGTCAGGATGTGAGTGATAATAATATGTGCAGTTCTATATTATTAAAAATCTTTTATTTATGTTTTAATATATATATAGTTTTTATCATATTTACCACAAAATCAAGGTGGATTATTTCCAATCGGATTTGGATTATTTTACCCTTTGAAAAGTGTAAGAAATTATACAATTGAATTATTTAATAGAATAAATACTCATACTGTAAGTAATAAATTTTCTGCTTCATCATTCAAATCACTTTATTGTTGCTAACATCCACAAAAAATCTATATACAACTAGACCGGTAGTAAATTTATTCTAAGTTTAAACTATTTTCAAAAATTTGCTTATGAGAGACAACTGGCCAACCTTCACGAAAAACAACAACAAATTGAAATGGCAAGTAGAATGTCTCAACAAGGTTTTGATGATACTGATAATGGGGAAATGGTGATGGCTCAATAATGATCAATTGAATTTTTTTAAAATAATATAAATTTTTTTTAATATAATTTGTATTATTATATATAATATAATGTATTTATAGAAAGAAGTAATTAATTTAATAATATTTAATAAGCATATTATATTAATATTAATATTAATATCTAATAAAAAAAATACAGCAAAAAAAATCTTACGTATTTATATTAACTTTTGTTCATTCCTTCAAAAAAAAAATATATCGCAACTCTAAGAATATGTAGCAGTTCCAAGAGGTTTTTCAGAGATGGAAGAATTTATTTATTTTACAAAGCATTTTAAAATGGGCTATAAGTTTTGACTTGGAAGTTCATGTGTTCATTATTAACATATAATCTTATTTTTATTAATTGTATTTTCTACTGACAGCTTTCAGTGAAAAACTGTCTTAAAAAATTATCAGATAAATCATCAAAAACACATTCTTCCTGCCTTTCTTATGGCTTAAATATAAGAAATTTGGACAACTTTGCTCAACAATAAATAATTAATTGTCTTAGCCTTCTATCTTGAAAATCAAACTTTGTTAGTTTTTTTAAAAAAGGATTACAGTATTTCAATTTAATTTTCATGCTCTGGATCTTAACGCATATATAATTAGTATAACATGTTAATATTATATGATGAAAATTTATTTTCTGATGAAAAAATATATATTAATTTCAATGAACATAGAGCAAGTTTCAATAAAGAAAAGTAATCTCTTGATAAAGAACTTATTAGAAAGTTTTTTATGGGTTAAGTGACAAAAAATAATTCAAAATTTTTTTAATATTAATATTAATATCAAGTACATAAAAAAAAGCATAGTGGACATTCGTTTTATCACATGTGACAAAATCGATCGTTGATCTTTTTTATGTTGTGAAACATATGACTT